TTCACTGAAAGGCTTAGATCTTTTGGTGAAAAAGTGGCTACACAAAAAATAGAAAACAAGATGTTGGGATTTATGTGGGAGTCAGCACTCTCCAAAGGCTGTATCCTCAAAAGGAAAAAAAAAAGATGGATTAAAAGAAAAAAGAATTATCCACTGTCAAAGAGAGATGATAGGCAAGTTTTGGCCCAGTCACAGCGTGAAGAGAGTATTGGTGAACAGGGAGATGGAGCTAAAAAAGTGACTCAAAATGAGGCACAAGGTGATATGTCCAAAATAGAGAGCCAAACATACAAAGAACAGGATAAAATGGATTAGTACATGTCTAATAGGAATTGTAGAAGGAGAAACAAGAAGGAACAGAGAAGAGATAAAAGTCAAAGAGACAGCGATACAGATTTTTTCCAGACTCTATGAAAATCATGAATCCTCAGGTTTAGGAAACACAGTGAGTGCCAAGCAGGGAATGTAAAGCCACACACACACTCGACTGGAACCTCAGTGTACCCAAGACAAAAAGCTCTTAATCTCAACCATGGAGGAAACACAGATTACCTATTAAAAGAAGCAATAATGAGACTGTCAGTTAACTTCTCAAAAGGAGAGCAGAAGCCAGAACGTAGGGGAACAATGACTTCAAAGTATTAAATAAAAAGATCTATTAGCCCATCATTTAATATTCCACTGAAGTATTATTGAAAAATGAGGACAACATAAAACATTTTCAGGAAAACGAACACCAAAGAAAGTTACCACCAAACAGTACCTGCTGAAAGGATTTCTAAGAGGTGTACTGTAGCATGAAGGGAAGTGAACCAAAATTAAACACTGGGACGCAAGGAGAAAAGTGAACAAATTGACAAACATGTCGATAAATCTAAGCAATCACTGTCTATGTGAAACAGTGTAATGCTGAGTAAGATGGTAAAAAAGCAGAGTGGAACTCAAATACTAGGTAACAGTAATAGGGAAGTCGAGAAATTGGAGGATTTCAAGAGATTTAAGGTCATTTTGAAAAGAGTGTAGAATGACTAACTTCAAACTTCAGTCAAAAATATTAAAAGAATGTCTAAAAGATTAAAAATAAGGTATATAATTTCCAAGCCAAGGGAAAAATTAATTAACCTAAGTAAAAGAAAAATAAGTCAGGCAAAAAGTGAGGGAAACAAGTATGAGGAAGGCAGGGTAATGAGAAAGACTAAAATAAGATGTTCAAATTAATTTGGAAAATCAGTAATGATGATAATAGATATAAATGGCCTAAAATATAGGTCAAAAGAAAAAGACCTCATATTAGAATAGAAGAAACAAACAAATCTAGCTACATGCTATAGGAAAACAATAAAAATACAGAAAGGCTGATGGCCGAAGTAGAAAGGATAAACCAAGCAACTATTAACCAAAAGAAAGGTATTGTCACTATATTAAGATCAGACAAAATTAATTTTAAGGTAAAGATCATTGTTAGAAATAAAGGTGGTTGACACAAAATATTAAAAGAAAAAGTCACCAGGAAGATACAACGATTCTAAACTTGTAAGACTCTAATAACAGATTGACCTCAAAACACAAGTTAAAAATGGACAGACTTACTAGAATAATCAAGCTCACAATCATAAAGTGAGAGTTTTCACACCCCTCTCATAAAGTGAGATTCTTTACCTGTCTCCCTGCCAACATCATGTTTAGATTATGTTCTGTCTAGAACATAATCTAAAAGGCACCGTCCTTCTTTTTTTATGTTTCATTCATAGATGTAGTTTAAGACCATAGAGCAGTGCCTGGCATGTTACAGCTGCCTAATATATACTTGTTGAATGTTTGAATTAATCAATATAAAAAAGATCATAACTATAGAGACTGAATAATACAGTTAGTAAGCATAAGCCAATGGACTCTTATGGGACCCTTCACTCCCAAATCCCTCTTCTCAAGCATGTGGGGAATGTTTGTGAAATCTCACCATGTGCTGGGCCTCATTCTCCGACCACAGTACAATTAAGTTAGAAGTCAACAACAAAACAATAAAATTCCATGCACTATACAATGTAAAACATATTTCCCTACAACTGAAAGAAGAAATCATACCAAACATTATGGTAACAGAAGGCTGAAGGAAACAGAACTTAATAAATAGAAACTTTGTACTTAAAAAGTTGCGGTGAGCAGCTAAAGATCACCTAGAGGGAATTCTGTAGATTTAGTGTATATATAAGAAAAAGGAAGGATAAACATCAATGAGATATATAGCTAAATTAAGTTAGAAAAAAGACCTACAAAGTAAACATAAAGAAAATACAAGGAAGGAAAACAATGAAGATGAGATGAGAAATTATTGAGACATGGAAAAAACACAAAAGAGGATCAAAGAAGTTAAAAGCAGTTTCTTTAAAAATAGATACAATTTTGTCAACAGTGATCATATTACAGAAGATAAGGCTTACTATTAGAAATAAAAAAGGGCCCATTTTCAGATAAGGAAGAAATTTGAAAAAATAGAACATTATGACATATTTGACACTAATATACATATTTAAAAATGAACAGAATCAACAATTTCCTAGAAAAAAAAATGTAATTTGTCCAAACTGACTCATGGAAAAAATAGACAACCCAAACAAAATCTATAATTATATAAAGTGAGTGACTGGTTAAGAATCTACTTAACAAAACTACCCACCAGGGCCTGATGAATTCTTCCAAACCACAATTAATGGTTAAACTTTATCTTACACAAAAGCTTCCAAAGAACAGCAGTCCTCATTCCCACTGCAGTAGTGAAGCTAACAGAGGACCTCACTATGGAAACCGGGAGGCGAAAGTGTACAAGGGGCCACTGAGGGGCCAATCTCTTTTATGAACACAGATGCGAAACCCTAAATAAAATGCTCGCACACTTAAGCCAGGAATGCAGAATAAATAATAATACGTCATGACTTGACTTCCCAGGTTTCATCCCGGGAGATCAAGGATGGTTTAACATTAGAAGTCTCTTAATATACTTTACCACACGGATGGATTAAAGAAGGAAATCATACAGTCTCCTCTGCAGAGGCAGAAAAAGGACTTGGTAAACTGTGTCACCTGTCCATGATTAACATAGAAAGAATGTAGCAACTAGCAACACGAGGGATCTTCTTTACCTGATACCAGGTACCTGTTGGAAAGTGCTTCACTGTGAAATAATGAAACGATTCTCCTTAAAATAAAAACAAGACAAGGATGCCCAACGGTATTCAACATTATCCTAGAGGGCTTAGCCAGCACAGAAACAACCAGAAGCCACCAGGATTTCCGAGGAAAAGACGATGGGGAGTGCGCCGGCAGACGGGACCTCCTCGTACTCCCCAGGGTCTCTGAGAAGTAGCTATAGAGTGCGCTACCTGTTGAGAACTAGTATTCCAGAATACCTAGATATTTACAAGTTTATAGAGTTTTCTTATTTGGTGCCCTTTGTTCTCTTTAAGACTCATAGTTGTGTTTCATCTAAAAAGATGCTCTATCATTGTCTGATTTTTTTTTTTAACTTGGTACCAATCCCTTTTAGAACCAGAACTTTCCAGCTTGTCCAAGGACTCAAATTTAGTTTGACCTCCCGTCTGGTAGTCACACTTCCTGTTCTGCCTCCGGGCAAGAAGGACGCATGGCCCTCAGTGGACTCCTTTGGGACCGCCCACCCCCACGGCACCGAGGACGGTACCCCAGTGCCGAGCAGGGTCCCAGCACCAGGACGTGCTGCTGTTCTCCCCACGAGCCCTTCTCCTTCTTTTTCATTACCAATGTTTTTTTTCCTCAACTAATAAGAAATCTTTAAAAAAAAATCCCATCTCAGTCTTTGATAGGGGAGTTGTGTTTAATTTGCTGCCCCCTTGATTCTTTACATGCCTTGCCCGTGTGGTTTTTCTGAGTGTTTTTGTATCATGAGTCACTCTGAGCAACTGACTGAGAATGTGGGAAGGAGTCTTCTTTTGCTACTTTGATTCACTGTGTGATTGACCCTGGGCCAGTCCCCGAACCTAATCAAGGAGCTTTGGTCATGGCTAAATAAAGGTAAAAGGCCTGGAAAGATGCGTTAAAACTGGATCCCACCACCTAATGACTCAGCCTCTTAATAACTGACTCAGAAAAAATAATTAGCTGTTTCCTATAACATTTCCATTTGGAAAAGAGCGATATTACCCTTGTCTAGTTCTGATGGCCCTTGTACATCTCCCTGTCCTTGACCGCTGTAACCTCTCCCTTTGTTTATTAACTTGACCGCTCAGTTTCAGTCCACAGTGACCAGCCCAGAAGGGACTCTAGCTAGAGTAGGTGCGCAGCTGTTAAAAAAAGAAGAAGAAGAAGAAAGGAAGGGGCACTTAGACAAGGAGGTCCTGATTTGGGGTTCAACTCTCCCAGGCACTTCAGTTTTGAGGCCGGAAGAAAATCAGCTAACCTCTCTGAGCTACACTTGCTAATTTATAAAATGGTAACCACATTTCTCTATCTTTTACCCCACAGGCAATTGTTACAAAAACCAGATAATGAACACGGATGGTGTTTTGAAAAACTCGGAAGTACTGTGTATTTGTATTCACATCAACTGGACAATTCTATTCACTGATGCAAAAATTTCATCGTAATATACAATATATGAGAAGGTCTATACCCATTCATTCCAGATAGATGTCATTAAAATTAGAGCTGAGTAATTTGCAAGTGTGTAAACAATAAATTCAGGGCAAGGAAGACTTTAAAGTAATAAAGTGTCGTTTAGGGACATAAGCAGCGTGATGTGGCTGCCTGCAGGGAACAAACTAATGAATGTTTGAAGATGCTTCTTATTTTAACTTTTAACCTTTTGAATCCATAACCTATGGTGGAAGCTAAACATACACAACAAATGAAGGGGAACCTGATGAGTGAACAAATTTCAAGGTGGGGCCAAAGGAACAATTGCAAACGTGATCTCTAGACAATGTAGAGATTCAAGGGAACGAAATCTGGAGGCTTTATTTTCTTACCTTTGTTCTGTATTAAAGAGTGCAAAGATGTGCTTGCTAGACATAAAGCTCTTTTCCACGTCTCGAACCTTCAGGTTGTCCAAGGGGAGCATGTACTTCTTTTCTTTTTCCTAGAGAGAGAGCAGGAGGAGGCGGAGCTTTAATAAAAGATCTTGAAGCATGCCAACGGCGACATTTTCCCCTGAGCTGGCCAACGTTTGATTACGCTCCTTTGATACCATCACATGCTATTTTGATACCAGATATAGAAGAACAGAAGTTATCTGAGATGGGAGTCTCCGATGATTCTCAACACATGGTCAGAGGAATGGGGGGAGGGGCGTCTAGAGGAAGGAAGGGCTCAGCAATGGAGAAAACACATGGTCTTCTATCCTTTCTTCCTCATGTGGGTCCCCTTAGATGTTTTCAAATGTTAGTTTGATATTAAGAATTTAGCCATCTGTTAATATTTAACAAAAATGTTCTGGTCCTAATTCAATGAGAAGTGCCAGATGGATTTCATTTTATATTTTATTTGCAGCCTAAGCAGTTTTGATAGCCAGTGCTGGCAGGGGCCTGGAAGCCCGGGACCCCAGCATGAAGTGCCCCCCCGCCAATAACTTATGCTAAAGCACAGCAATACTTACTTCACTTTGGTCTAGAACAAATGTGGGTCCAGAAAAAAGTCATAATGTCCTTCAATTGCCGAGAGGAAAAGAACACATTAGAAGTGGACTGATATGAACTAGAACAAATTCTTTTTGCAAAATGAACAATCCGTTGGGAAGAAAGGGACATAGGAAGGAGAGGTCTGCAAGTGGGGACACACTGATCTTTGTAAAAACCTACTGATGCCAAAGAATTATTAGAAATGCTAACTTTTACAGACTGGCTCAGGGGCAAGGTTATCATGGTCAAATGCTTTACCGCCAGTATAACAGGACAGGCAAACACACAATGTAAGGAACCTAGTCAAGCCTGAGTTACTGGGGCTCCTTGTTAAACCGTAGTGCCCTGCACAGTCCCAGCCTCCATCTCTGGTGCCGGTCTTGAGGAAAAGCAGGCCCAGCCTCCAGAGGAGGCGAGCATGGAGCTTTAGCCATGACTTTTAATGAACAGCTATCGTGCATTTCCATGGGGAGTATGTGCGCGGTGCAGGCACATCCAACATAGCCTGCTGCCCCGCCAGCCTTTGCAGCACGTGCCTCGGGGGGTGTGTGGCTGGGCTCGGGTGGCAGCTCATGGGCCAGCGGCGGGGGTGGAACCGCATGGTCCACACGCCTACAGAGAGCCGTCGGGAGCATCGCGCTCTCTGCCACTTCTTCCTCCTCAACTGACCAGAAGACAGCCGGGCAGGGCACCTTGAAACAGGGAGGCCGAGAGAAGAGGACGACCAAAGAGGCCAAAGGAAGCTGGTGGGAAGCCAAAACAGCGGTCCTGGCAGACAGTGTCCTCAGAGAGGGTTTTAGAAAATAATATTAATAAATAAAAGCAACTGAAGGGGAGAGAAGGCAGTGTAAGAATAAACATGAAAAAGCAAGCCACTATGTAAGATGTCAATTATTTCTTGTGCAAAAATTAGTAACATATTAGCAAAAGCAAGGATATTTGAAAGAGCAAAATACTTAAACTTAACTAGGTAAATAGAGTATCACAGCAGAGTCTGACTTGTCTCAAACACACCCAAGATCGAGGCAAGACGGCAGACTGAATGAGAAACTGTTCAATGCATGATTAAATGAAAATGCTGGAGACCCAGGGACATTTTTTTAGATGCTTTGCAATGCCCTAAGTTTAAGCAGCTGGACTCTTTTAATGCACCATCCTAGTCAACGTTTTGAAATGATGGATTTGCCTTTTAATGGAAATCTGCATTTCATTGTTGAAGATGGAACACAATGTCCTTGGCATGTTTTCTATAGAAGGAGGCTCCCTTTGAACTGCGTTTTTTAGCATATAGTGAAGACCAAAAATCCAGCAAGTTGACGTCAGATATTCAACACTGGAAACATACACACATAGGCAGGCAGGGAAGCAGGGAAAATGTAGTTTCATTTCCAAAGTATGAAATGTCATTTGTCCGAGGGTTTTGAAGACATAATGCTGAATTATTTCATAATCAAGAGCTTGAAGACTGACAAAGGAAGAAAAAAAGAGACTCAGACTGACTTGTTTAATTCAAGTTGTTAGGCCAATAGAGAACTGAGTGAGAGAGCAATGTCATGAATATTCCTAAAATTCTTGGTGCTTTCAGGGAAGAATAATGTTTTGTTAAGAGAACATTCTGAATATGAAAAAGCTGAAATAAACAAAAGGAATAGAAGCAATAAAGGATAAATGGAATTACAATTTCCAATACAGGGAGTCAGAGCACCAGCTTAACGGAGACACGTGCTACATAAATTTGTTAGTTTTATTAAACTGCCTCAATAGCGCCTGTCCAGCAGCGTAGCCTCCGCTGCAGGTGACTGCTGAGAGCTTGAAACCTAGCTGAACTGGGATGCGCTCTGAAGGCTGCACACACACCAGACTTCAAAGACTTAGTATGAGAAAAGCAATGTAAATGATCTCCTGGACACTTTTATATTGAATACATGTTGAAGTGGTATTTTTAGGTATCAAGGTAAATAAAGTACTGCTACACATAACTCATTTGCTCCTGTTCGCAGTTTTGCGTGTGGCTGCTGAACACTGTCTGGCTCACGTAAACCTTCTATGCACAGGGATGGGCGCATGCGTGTCCCATCGCTTTCCTTCCCCCTCCTCCATGCAAACAGCTATCCCGCTGCTGACCACCCCCCCCCCCCGCCAGCCCCGTTTCTGCCGACAGAGGTAGTTTCCATCCTCCTAGTGACCCAGCCCGAAAACTCACTGCCCCTCCTGACGGATCGTCCTCCTTCGCCTCTTTTATTACATCAAGACCATGGCACTGTGTCTGCAGATTTGTCAGAGCTCCTTTGTTTGACATTCCCACTACATCAATCTCAGTCCCTGGCCCCTCACACGCGCATAATGGTAAACGGCCTACTTGCCTTCAAATTCCTCTCACGTCACCAGGGAGGACAATTTCTAAAACTACTCTATCAAATGCATTATAGTCCTTCAAAACCTTCATAACTCACCATAATTTATGGGAGCGCATCCACAAAACTTGTTAATATTACACTGGAAAACACCTATAAGTTAGTCTGGCCCTGATTTGTCTGTATTTCTTTTATTCTTCCGCAAGAAGCCTCCATTTCAACCAAATACACCTTTGCCAACGAGCTGCTCCCAGCTGGAAACACGCTTTTAACTTCTACCCGATCAGCCTATTATTTAGCGTCTACCTAAAGTTCTACCTCCCGTGCAAAAAGATCTCCCACGTTTGTACCTGCCTGTCCGTCTCTTGGGCCCTCCCCCACCTCTCGCCTTTCAATTCAGACAAGGCATTGTTCATTCTGTTCAGTTTGAATCATACTGTATGAGATGCCTTCACCTTAAAATCGCATCATGTTGAAAATTTTCTGTAAAGGTTCTTCATTTGGAGCTCGGAATGTTCAGTCAATTCTGTTGTTTGAGTAGGACACATTAGCAAAGAAAAGTTTTAACAGTACATAGAGAAGTTTTTGCAATATTTGTAAATAAACAAGAAATAAAATTTGGTATTTTAAACATTTCATTGTGACTAGACATTTTGGAGGAAGCACTTAAAAAATTCTAGAAAAAGATTTTTTCAACTATTTTTCCAGTCTCACTGAGAAATAATAAATATACATCATTGCCTAAGTTTAAGGCACACAGCATGATGACCTGATTTATGTATATTGTGAAATGGCTTCCACAAGAGGTTCAGCTAACAGCCATCTTCTCATGTGCAATAAAAAGAAAAGAAGGAAGACTAAAGGAAAATATTTGCCCCTTGTGATGAGAACGCACAGGATCTCCTCCTCGCTGCTTTCCTGGGGGCCACCCGGCGGTGTCCGCCTGGCCGCCATGCTGCACTGCATCCCCAGGACTTACGGACCTTGTGCCTGGAAGTCTGTGCCTTTTTCCCAGCTTCCTCCAATTCCCCCTTCTCCCACGCGAGCCTCTGGTCACCGCACATCAGATCTCTTTCTCTACTCGGTTTTGTTTTAAGATCCACACATAAGTTGAGACCATACAGTATTTGTTTTCTTCTATGTGACTTATTTCACTTAGCAGAATACCTTCAAAGTCCATCCACGTTATTGCAAATGGTTTTTATGGCCAAATAGGAGCCCACTGTATATAATCAACATCACAACTTCTTTATCTATTCATCCATCAGTGGACACCTTGGTTGCTTCCATATATTGGCTATTGGTAAATAATGCTGCCATACGTGTGGACACGTAGATATCTTTTTGGGGTCGTGTTTTCGTTACCTTTGCATACAGACTAGTGCCCCTTATCCATGGGGCGCAGGACCCCCAGAGGATGCCTGAAACCATGGATGAGACTAAACCTTATAAATACTACGTTCTTCCTATATCATACCAATGAAAACATTTAATTTATAAAGTAGGCATAGTTAAGAGATTAACAGCAATAACTAACAATAAAATAAAACAATTCCAATACACTGTAATAGAAGTTCTATGAATGGGGTTTCTCTCTTTCTCCAAACACTGTATTATACTGTAGTCACTCTTCTTGTGATGGCGTGGGCCTTATGACGCAACATCAGGCATTATGACAAAGGTGACTTGAACACAAGCACAGCAGTAACTGCGACAATCAATGTGATCCCAAAGATCACCTGGTGACTAAGGGGTGGGGGGTGCACAGAGCGTGGAGACGCTGGACAAGGGGTGGTTCGCAAGAGGGGTGAGGGGAGATGGGGCGAGACGGCGTCGCACCGCTCAAAGCAGCAAACAACTGAAAACCGGTGAATTGGTTATTTCTGAAATTTCCTATTTAATATTTTTGGACAACAGTTGACCTCGGGTAATTGAAACTGCAGAAAGTAAAGCTACTGATAAGTGAGGACTATATTCCCAAAGTGGAATCGCTGGATCATACAGTAGTTCTGTTTTTAATTTTTTGAGGGTCCTCCATATTTTGAGAATATTTTTAAAATGGAGATTCAGAAAGGAAATTCTGCATATTTCCAGAGCTTCTGAAGCTG